GACAAAACCTTGTCGAAACGTTGTACATTTGCTGTTATGTTAAACTTATATTAAAGTTTTTCTTCATTACCCATTCAAGCCGTCTCCAGCCATTATTAGTCTCAAAGTGGTTTCCTCGTCATCGAATTACCAATAAATTGTGCTCACAAGGGGTATCGAATCTTGATTTTTAGAGTATAACAATCAAAAAATTAAAACTTAAAACACTTGTGAAACTAAGCAGTGTAAGTCAACAATAAGAAAGTACAAACTTAAAACATAACTTACAGACAAATATTCTGTTACCATATGGTAATCACACCAGGCTTCACTGAAAGCATATCTTACAGACAAAGGTTGTGTTACCACGTGGTAATCACATTAGTCCCCACTGAAAGCATATCTTACAGACAAAGGTTGTGTTACCACGTGGTAATCACACCAGGCTTCACTGAAAGCATATCTCACAGACAAAGGTTGTGTTACCATATGGTAATCACACTAGTACCCTCTGAAAGCATATCTTACAGACAAAGGTTGTGTTACCAGGTGGTAATCGCACGAGGCTTCACTGAAAGCATATCTTACAGAAAAACTTTCGTTCAAACCCATTCAGCCATTTTCGAGAAATCTTGCTGCCAAACACACACACAGGGGCGAAAACATAACTTACAGACAAAGGTTGTGTTACCACGTGGTAATCGCACGAGGCTTCACTGAATGCATATCTTACAAACAAAGGTTGTGTTATCACGAGGTAATCACACGAGTCCCCACTGAAAACATATCTTACAGTAAAGAGTGAAAGTCATTTCCTTAGCGTTGATGGTGGGTAGTAGGGTACCTTCTCACTGCTCAGTAGTCCAAAACTAAGGAAGGCGGAGGACAACTTTAGTAGTTTAGCCATAAACATAAAATAAAAATACTGTCTTTTCTTGATGCATATGAAAAAAAAAATTAGCACTCGAAGTTTTTAATCTACAAAAGTATTTTAATAAAATATACGGATAAACCTTGTTAGGGCTTGGCAAGTTGAAACCGATAGTGGCAGGGCTTAGCAAGTTGAAACCGATAGTGGTAGGACTTAGCAAGTTGAAACCGATAGTGGTAGGGGC